TTTGAGACAGAGAGAGACACAGCATGAACGGGGGAGGGGCAGAGAGAGAGGGAGACACAGAATCGGAAGCAGGCTCCAGGCTCTGAGCCATCAGCCCAGAGCCCCACGCGGGGCTCGAACTTGCGGACCGTGAGATCGTGACCTGAGCTGAAGTTGGACGTTTAACTGACTGAGCCACCCAGGCGCCCCTGGGTATTTGTATCTTTAGACCACCTTCACCCATTTTGCTCACTCCCTACCCGCTGCTTCTTGCAGCCACCAAGTTTTTTCTTTAATTTGTGAGTTTATCTGTTTTCAGATTTCACATATAAGTGAGATTACATAGTACTTGTCTTTCTCCGCCCTCTCAGCATAATGCCCTTAAGGGCCATCCATGTTGTTGCAAATGGCAGGATTTCCTTCTTTTTACAGCTGAATAATATTCCATCTTACATGTACATATACATTTTCTTTATACATTCATCTACCGATGAACACTTAGGTTATTTTCATGTCTTGGCTATTGTAATTAATGCCACAGTGAACATGGGCGTGCAGATATCTCGTCAAGATCCTGATTTCAATTCCTTCAGATAAATACCCAGAAGTGGGATTGCTCATCATATGGTAGCTCTATTTTTAATTTTTTGAGGAACCCCCATTACTGTTTACCAAAGCAGCTGAACCATTTTATGTTCCCACCAACAGTGCACAAGGATTTCCTTTTCTCTACACCCTTGCAAACACTTATTTCTTCTCTTTTTGAGAACAGCCATTTTAACTGGCGTGCAGTGATATCTTGTGATTTTGATTTTCATTTCCCTGATGATTAATCATGTTGAGCACCTTTTCATATATTTGTTGGCCATTTGTATGTCCTCTTTGGAAAAACGTCTATTCAGATCCTCTATTTTTTACTGGAATTGTTTGTTTCTATTGAATTATATGAGTTCTTTATATATTTTGGATGTTAATCCCGTATCAGATATATGAATATGATCTGCAAATATTTTCTCCCATTCCTTAGGTACCCTTTTCATTTTGTTTATTTGTTTGTTTTGCTACACAGGAGCCTTTTAATTTGATTTTTTTTATTTTGTTTTATTTTGTTACTTTTATTTTTGCTTGTGTTGCCTTTGCTTTTAGCTACAAATCCAGAAAATCATTGCCAAGACCAAAGTTGAGGTGATTACTACCTATGTTTTCCTCTAGGAGTTTTATGTTTTCAGGGCTTATGT